AGGGGCAGGGCGAGCTCCCGGACCCTCCCCGCAACACCGGCTGCCAGAGGCTACCGAGCCTGCCCGGGACCGACCGGAGGGCGAGGCCAGCGTGAGACTAGAGGGAGGGCCGTCCTTGAGCACGCCCAGGTCTGTCCGGAGCGCCACCCGAGCGGCGTGGGGTGGAGCAACCAGGGCGGGCACTTGTGAACGGGAAGAACTCAAGACTTCCTGTACCAGTCCTGACTACCAACCGCTTTCATATGGGCGCAGCCCTCACCAAGAGCTCGCCCAGCAGCCAGGCACACCCACCCAGCCCTCAGGGACCTGGATTGAAAGTGTGTGCCTCTTGCTGGGGATTGGGGGAGGAGGCTGTACCTGAGTGTGACAGTCCCAGCCAAGACAATGTGACTCGGCCAAGTTTAAAACTTAATTTAGTTGGTACATTTCTACCTCCCGTTTGCAAAATGGAAAAGATTAGTTATTGGGTTTCAAGGTTATTGTGACAACTGAGAGAAATACGTTAAGTATATTTCTAGTTTTTTCTTTGTTTGTTTGTTTGTTTTCAAGACAGGGTTTCTCTGTAGGTTTGGAGCCTGACCTGGAACTAGCTCTTGTAGACAAGAATGACCTCGAATTCACAGAGATCCGCCTGCCTCTGCCTCCGAAGTGCTGAGATTAAAGGTGTGTGCCACCACCACCTAGTTTATTTCTAGCCCTTTGAGGCTGGACAGGAAGTTTCTATTTTAGAGTAAACAAAACAAATCCCCCCCCCCAAAAAAACCAATTATTTAAACAGTCCTTACGTTCCTTACCTAAAAACAGTGAATAATTACCCAAAACGCAAATACTGAGAGTAAAAACTGATGCTCTCCCTTCAAGGGTAAAGTTATGTTTAAGTTTAAATCGCCGTCCTTAAGAGACGTATAAAACAACAAAAAAAAAAATGCCTCTAACTTGTAAACCCGACTTGTCCAAGGATAGGTAAACCTGTAAGTCTCACTTACCCAAGGAGAGAGAACTTCTTGGAATGGCAGGGGCTGCTGTTCATGTAACAAGCTGCAGGCATTCACTGCTGTAAACAAGTTTGGTTGCTCCAACTGCACAGGATTTACTTAACCACCTGTAGGTGACAGGAACTAAGTCAGGAGGTCTGCTTGCCCCTGATTGGAGGAAGGCAGGATGTATATAGCTTTGTGGGGTTTGCTCTTATAAGCCCTTGTCTAAGGTAGTTCTCAGTCACACTCTATGAATCTCAAGTATGACCTGGCCAGTGTCCATTTTCCTGGCCACTATTTAATAAAATTGTTTCAAATTTGGCTCAAATACAGTGATAGTGGCTAGGTGTTATTAACATCTCTTCATTAAATTTGATAAGTAAGGAATTGGCACTTTTATCAAACTCCCAAAATGGAAAATGGCACTGGATGGTGTGAATGTAAATGCATTTTTTTTTTTCCAAAAGAATTTTGGAGACAGGAAATGTAGCTTCGTTGATGTTTGCCTGGCCTGTTGGAAGCCCTCAACACAATCCCCAGTGCATTAAATGGCTCAGTGGCACAGGCCTGTGATCCTAACACTTGGGTGGTGGGAACACAAGGAAAGACCTGAAGTTTAAGGTCATCCTCCCTGCTTAGGAAAGGCCTGTATAGTGCCGCCTGCATGAAACACAGGAGTGGGATGTATGTGTGTTTGGGGGTTGCTCAGAGGACTCAGTCGTGCTTCTTTCCTGCCCTACTGCTCCTTTCACTTATATACAACAAGCAGCCAAGATTTCTTGATTTTAAAAAAGAATGAAAGAAAACTAAGTTAAAGCTGAGCCACCCCTGGGTTGTTCTAATTTACTCCATTGATAAGCGGGTCCTTGCTTTGACTCAAAACAATGCTTCTCAGCACTATTGGTGATCAGGTTTGAAAGTCAGATTAGGACGACCAGAATTTCCACAGACATTACCAAATTTTACCAAACTGCCCCTGGTTGGAAGAACCTTTCCTAAAATGACCTACCTGCCCACATCTGCATTCACATCTCCAGTTCCTTTTCTTTCCCAACTACAGAGGCCTCCTTGCGTTTTACCCTTAGCAGCTTTGTAATTCTCATTCAGTACGAAGCCTCTAGAATCTATCTGTACCATCTACCCCATCTCTTTCCTTGGATCCATATTCCAACATCATCTCAGCCCTTTCCAACCAACCTCCCTTAACTTCCAAGCCACCCACATACTTGACAGCTTCCTACCCGTTTTCTTCCCAGTACTGCAGTATACAGTTTCCTGTTGTTATAGCAGCAGCACGTCTTGCTGACCACTGCCTGACTTCATCTGTAAATCAAATGCTTCCTGGGAGCAGGGAGGGAGTGAATATATATATTAAAAGGGGATGCATTTGATAGGCTTACAGGATGCTCTCTGGTTAGTCCCACAATGACTGTCTCCCACCGGAGAGGCCAAGAATCCAGTCATTCTTAAGTTTACTGATAGATGTCTCAGCAGTCCCAATCAGATGCCGGGGCCTGGAGGATTCTCGGAGAACTGGTAGTCTTTAGTCTATACTGGTTTGGTGAAGGAATGCTTCAGCAACAGGACAGATGAATTTGCCAGAGAGAGTGAGGGCAAGCAGTTAAAAGCAAACTTGCCTGCTTGCTGTCCTGTGTGGGCTGTCACCAGAAGGTTCAGCCCACCTCTCAGGTGGGTCTCCTTACCTCAAGTAGTCTGACCCAGAAAATTCCTCACCTGAGTGCCCCACAGATTGTGTTTGAGATAGTTCCAGCTGCAGTGAAATGACAACCAAGATTAGCCACTAGAGCAGGTGACATTGTGTGTCTTTTTTAAGTCAAGGCCCTTCAAATGTATCCATAAACAAACCACTGTCCGGTGGGATGAATAAAGCAAGTGTGGCCGTCTCATTCCCATTTCAGTGATTGGTTGGTAAGTAGAACTTGTCCAGTTTAGGTCTAAGAAGTGAACAAACCTTTCTTGAATGTTCTAGAAAGAAATGGCATTGTCCAGCTATTGTTCTGCCCCTTTTGATGATGAAAGAAAGACAAATATAAATCTAATATGACAAAAA